TAGAACAATTCTAATATTACATACAATGAGTGACATCTAGAAATATATCATTGTCACCTAAGTTACAAGAAAATATGATTCGACATATCATCTTGGTGATTAACTCTTTTATGTATTATATCCTTATGTCCTTTATATCTAGAATAGGCACAAGTCTTGGAATAGTCACACTTGTATAGCCCATCTATTGTTTCTTGATTTCTAGAGTAGACTTTAATTAACGAATAGTTTATGATATCTCATATCAACTTATTCGAGCATGGCCATGCGTTTCTAGTCTTACTCAATCAAGTGGCATGTGATATATTTCCTATTATGTAGGAAGGACATATTCTATCTTAATCATACACACCCACTACATATATTGAGATATATTCAATAACAGTCTTTATAGAGCAACCAATTACGGAGCTTGTTTAGCTGCATCAAAACATACAACAATATATGTTGGGATAATATTGATATCAAGTTTGAGGATCATACATATAGTCATCACCATGAGCAATGTTATGACTGTCACATAATAATCCAAGACATATGCTCATGGTGGGTCAATCCAATACATTGTTCTCTAACAATATAATCATGTATTAATTCTGACATCTCTATGTCAATGACAACTCATTGTCATCAATCAATAACATGTCAGTCTTAAGTGTATTATTATTGTCCATGCCCATAATAATACTTGACTAGGGATCTTTTAATAATAACATTTATGTCATTATATGGACTTTATTATCTTCCAGTTTATGTTAAACACATATATATAACTGAAAATAATAGCGGCAATGCCTTTATTCAATAAAATCGGTAAATAAAAGTATTATTACAATCATCATATGATTGGTCTTTGGGCATACTCTAACAGCCTCAACATGTTCTCTTCGATCTGAGTAATTCTGGCTTCCATCTTCTTTTCGGTTTGAATGAGAATGACATATGTCCGAATCTTGTGGAGGTATGTCCAGTGTTTGTACCCTTCCATTATGAAAATCTCTTGTTAGTTCATATGAATGCAAAAACAAATTATACGAAATATGCAAGAATGCATGATGCATGAAATGTTCGAGGCATTGATTCGAAAAATATGTCAGTTATTATAAATAACCCTTATTGGGGACAAAGGTGTTACGCCTGAAGAGATAAAAAACATTTTGATGTTATAGATCTTGAACAGCCCCTAGCAAGTTGATTCGTCTTCAGCCATTGTCATCGGTTTAACGCCCTGTCGAATCGTTCTGGCTTCTCAGGCTAAAGTGCGCAAGTAACGAGATGCTTGCCCCAAAAAGTCTTGAAGGACTGCATTTCTGGCTTTCAATCTCTGCCAAGCTTGTTCTAAATGAAAGAGCCATCGAAGCCCATCATCGATAGAAATTATCCAAAGTTTGCTTCTAGAATTTGTCAGCAATGGCATATAGCTCAGCTAGGGTTCCGCCATCTTGTTCTCGTAGTCTTCGAAAGGAGCGTCTGGGTCAGTAACCTTTTCCTCGTCTTGCCCCTACAACCTTTACCTCTAAGTATTCTTTGACCACGACTGGGATTCTGAGCTTTTTATCTCTTTGTATTATAACCCCTTTGTCCATTAACGCAGATTATTCATGTTTAACAAACACATTTTTGGTGGATCAACACCTCTTTTAAATGATTCAAGTGATGAAAATAAAATAAAAGAGAACAAAAATAAAAATAGTTAGTGAGGTAAATCAAAACAATAATAAAAATGAAAAATCCTATCCCACATGATATCTACCCCACATGATTATTGTTCCTACCCGGACATGATCTCTATCACGCATGCTAATTTCAAACAAATCCTAAACCGCATATTTGTCTAGTTCGCATGCTTTGAACAGAAAGTAAAACAGGAAATAAAATCAAAGTATCCTAGGGTTTACAATGAGGTTTTGGGGTAGGCTCTAATTCCCTATACTCTTCCGGTTTAGGTTCTAAAAGGGTACCTAAGTTCTCCTTGTCGGTGCCCCCTTGGGCTTGCCAGACCCTTAGTCCTAAACCCATCACAAGCTTGTGCAGACTAAGTTAAACTTGAGAGGACACATTCCCTTATGCCCACACGGTGAATAAATTCATACGAAGACATAAGGTATATGAATCCCAAAGGCTACTTGCTAGGCCCGCACGGTGAATAAATTCACACGAAGGCGTCATTTTTATCCCCACTTAAAAAGGGTTCGGAGCTCTGGTATAGAGCTAGAGATGAAAACTTTTTCAAAAATATGAAATCATTAAAAACCGTCAGTACAACTATTTATTTGAAAAAAATAATCAAAGGTAAATAATTGGAATCGAATAAATAAATTAAAATTCAAACTTACTATTTTTGCATAAAAAGACAACCGAAAAATTAATTCTGGCCTGACTCACTTACCTGTCCCCAGCAGAGTCGCCAAGCTATCGCGGCCATCTTTCGGTTGGGCCCCGGAATTGGGCTTCGACTTGGATTAAATGCTTTAGAGTCACCACCGACCATTTTAAAACGAACTTAGGTGTGTCGGACACCATCTTACCTGATCTGCGTTTCATCAGAAATGTGTCGGGTTCGAGAGTCAGTTACAGTTAAGGAAGGATTAACACCCTTGTACTGCCTTTTGGTACCAATTAATTTTTCAGTTGTTTTAATCGTGAAAAATTACAAATTTAAATTAAAATTTAAAAATTCAATTCGAATTAATTACCTTGGATTGGTTGAAATTATTCTAAAAAAGGTCGAAAATGTTAGATAAGGAAAAAAATTAATTAAATAAAAGAAAAGACAAATGCTAAATTATAATGCTTTAAACAGAGAAAAAATAAAATGTGTACATGCCGGAAATATAAATTAACAAATTGGAAAATATTTAATTGATTAAACCGTACATTCCCATGACCTATGGCACGTGGTAAACATGGAAATAAACAAAATTTAAACCCATTTATTTCCAGGTAAATTGATTTATTTAGAGCAAAGTCAAATATAGCAAGGGTTAATGGTAACATCAGTACTGACTTGGTTCAAATGAATTTATAAGCACAGCGGTGTTTATGAAGATGGTTTAAATGCAAGGATTGGAAAAACAAGTAAAACGAGAAAGAAAAAAAACAAATCTGAATACCTTCCAAACGAAACAACTGGACAGAGGATGAAAACAGATCCATCGCTGAATAATAAAAAAACACTAAGGTGGCGTTTGGTTCGCTGAAGTGTTTCGGAGGGAATTGGAATCTGTGAAGGAATTAAAATCTGTCAGGAATTGGAATCCAATTCCATATTTTATTTGGTTGGCAGGAAATTGAATTGGAATCCAATTCCATATTCTGTTTGGTTCGCAGACATGTCAGATGAAATTGATTTCAGTAATGTAAAATGACAGAATTGTCTTTTTTATTTTTTTGCTTAATTTTAGTTTGTTTATAAATTACATGTAGCAATATATTAAAAATTTAAAAAAATTAAATATTAAATTTTAATTTTATTGATTGATTATTTATTTCAATAAATTATAAAAATCATGCTAATAAACATCATAAGTTAAAATCATCCCAATTAGGGATGGCCATGGGTTGAGTCGGGTTTTTGGTCTACCCTACCCGACCCGAGAACAAGGGAACCTCCATCGAGACCCGACCCGACCAAAATAAAGTTTCACCCGACCCGACCCGAATATATGAATTAGAAACCCGACCCGAAATAATTAAAAAATTATTTTTATTCAATAAAAACAGTGACTTAATTGAAAAATAATTATATATAGAAGATATTATTGTAATTATTCCTAAATATATAAGGTAAAATTATATATTTTTTGGGTCGGGTCGGGTATTTTTCACCCTAAACCCGAACCCGACCCGACCCGAATATCACACTTAAAAAAAACCGACCCGCCCAACCAAAATAAAGTTTCACCCGACCCGACCCGAATATATGAATTAGAAACCCGACCCGAAATAATAAAAAATTTATTTTTATTCAATAAAAACAATGACTTAATTGAAAAAAAATTATATAGATGAATATTATTGTAATTATTCCTAAATATATAAGGTAAAATTATATATATTTTCGGGTCGGGTTGGGTCGGATCGGGTATTTTTCACCCTAAACCGAACCCGACCCGAATATAACACTTAAAAAAACCAACCCGACCTGACCAAAATAAAGTTTCACCCGACCCGACACGAATATATGAATTAGAAATCCGACTCGAAATAATAAAAAAATATTTTTATTCTATATATGAATAAGTTACCAAAAGATTGATGAGGATAGTATGATCAATTTCAATTCCCTCCGACAAGGGAATTGAATTCTATCATAAAATGGATTGATGGAAAGTTAAGTCATGAGGGATTCCAATTCCTTTGAAAATTTGAACCAAACATGGGAAAGTAGTGAATTAGATTTCAATTCCCCCTAAACCAAACGCCACCTAAACCTATTCCACCGGTGGTCACCCCGAAAGAAAAGTCAACAGGACATATCGATGCAGCATTCCTGTATTTACCGGGTTCAACAGGCTGCAGATAATACTCTTGTTCCGGTTGCACCAAATCAGAGGATAAATCAAAGAGTCTGAAAACTGAATCAGAACATGAGTGTCACTACAGGGATGCCATGGCGCTTGAAGGATGTGTATTGTATTGCTTTCACTAGAATAAACTTGAGAACCAATTGAAACAGTCCTCGAGTTGATGCATAAACCGTGGCAACCGTTGCTCCCTCGGCGGATGTGAAAACCGGGGGGTTTTGAAGCGGGACCCAATGGAGCTCTTCTTTAGGTGTTGAGGATCTTCGAGAATCGTCCTCGTTCGATTCCTCCAAGTTGAAGTGGAACCTCATTATTGTTTTTACAGTCCTTTCTCCCCCTTTCAATGTGGGAAAGTCTATGTATTTATAATAAACCTCCTCTCAAGAGCTTAAAGCATTGCCCTTTAAACCAAAATTCCCACGTTCATTTTTAGAGAAAAAGAAGCAAACATGCGAGAGATGTGCGAGGTGGTGAGTGGGGTCGGCAATTAGGGGAGTAGTGGTTGGCATGATGGAATGGGGTGAGTGGGGTCGGCAATTAGGAACTACCTTTCAAGCTTATAAAGTCCATGTGCTTTTCTTTTGTTGTGTTTTGGGTAGTGTTGAACAAGAATGTGTGGTTGTTTAAATCTTCTCTAGCTTACCTGCCTCTGCCTTTTTTATTTTATTTTTGCTCCTGTGTTTCCTCTTAGTGAGCTAGTGTTTTTCATTCATTCAAAAAACAGATGTGAAGAAATGACTAAAGAAGAAAACTTTAAGCTGCTCAAGATTCAGGTCTTTCTCCATCTTTTTGATTTGTTTATTATTATTAACAAATGTAGGTGATGCTGGTCTTTTGTTCTGAAGAATCTTTCTTTCTTTTCTTTTTTCTTGTTTTGTTTTTCTTATCCAGACTTGTGTTCTCAAAGTGAACATACACTGTGATGGTTGTAAGCAGAAAGTGAAGAAGCTCCTTCATAGAATTGAAGGTGCTCTCCTCATTTCTCTCATTAGTTTTTTCTCATCGTTCCATTTTTTTTCTATCTTGTTTGTTAATCATGAGAAACTGTTCTGCTGCTTGGTTGCTGAGAAAATTAGGAAGAAATGGAACCCCAACCAGAATATGGGGATGAAGGTCAACCCTGGTTTGCTTGATCAGAAAACATTGGCAGCTCTGAAGATGAATAATGCTCAGTTAGGCGGTTTAAACTTAAACGCCGGGGCCGATTCCAAGAGGGGAAACGACATGAACCCCATCGCCGCCGGTCTTTCCGGTTTTCATGGAAACAATGCTGCTAACGTTGTTCCTAATGCTTCTGTTTTAGGAGCCAATCCCAATGGTATGGGAGGATATCATCAAGTTCAATCCAACAATTGCCTGCAGCAGGGGGCATCTAACGAGTTTCCCGAACGGAGGATTCACGACCAGTCAATATCCATCGCCGATGCTCATGAACATCAACGGCTACAACCATCCGTCATCATCGATGATGAATATGATGAACCTGCAGAACAGGCAACTACCTCAGATGATGTATCATAGATCCCCTTTAATCCCCCCTAGCACCGGCTACTATTACAATTACAACATTCCACCATACTCATTCCATGAAGTCCCCAATTACAATGCTGATCGTCATCAATCAGCCCATATGTTCAGTGATGAAAACACAAGCAGCTGTTCAATAATGTAATGAGAGAATGTAATTCTACTGTGTACTGTAGGACATGTGGGAGTCAAAATATTATCCGTGTATTATGTTCAAATTAAATGGTAGGGTCTTATTTTATTCCAATAGAAGACAAGGGGACATCGGTTACTGCAAACTTCACAGAGAATAATGACACAGTAGGTAGGGCCAAGCTGGGTTGACACTATGTGTCACGTTAGTGCTGCAAAGTCTGTGCTTTTGGTTAGGTTTTGGGTAGATGGGGTGCACGTGCCTCTCACGTGCGATCGCCATTGGTTGAGTGACGGTGTCGGTCAGCCTCAGCCCCGGCCAATGGGAAAAGCACAGGGACCAGGACCGCCTTAACCTATCTTGTTCCACTGCAAATATAAGCAAAGCTTTGCCAATGGCAGAAACAGAGAGACGATGACTAGGTTTTTTTTTTCATAATGGATCTCCTGTGATGATAGTTTGAATTTTCTTCCATTAGTTGACATAAAGTTGTGCAGTTTTAATTCTCACAAAAGAATCTCAGTCCATCAGAGGCAGATGACTATGATAGCCGTTGAAAGGGAGATGTCTAAGATACTCTGAGAAGAATTTAAAGATGGCATTTAATAGTTTGCATGAAAAGTAAAAGAGAGGAAAGCAGGTAAAAATGTGGGAAATAATGTTAAGTTTGATTGTTGGTTGGTAAAGTGGAGGCGGAAGTCGTAATTATTTAAGAGAACAAATTGTGAAAGTTAATATAATGGAGGGTAAATTACATGATTGATGACATTCATTTAAGTTTTGTATATTTTTTTTTTTGAATTCAAAAAATATTATATTTAGTCATTTTAGTTTTTATTTACTAAAATTTAGTCATTTTCATTTTTATTTAATCATGATGTGATCATTAAGGACTAATTCTAATTATACCTTTAACAAATTGGTGATCGAACAATGAATTTATAAAACTAAAAAGGGTAAATTACATAAATGGCAATTAATGTTTGGATACATTTTCATTTTCCCTATTAAAATTTCAAAATTAACAATTTGGTCCCTAAAATATCAAACATTTCATTGAATAATGATTTTATATCTAATTTATTTTTAAATGTTTTATTTATCATTTAAAATATTCGATTGCTTCATGTCAAAAAAAATATATTTTATTTTTTATTTTTGAAATTTAAAAGCATATATAAATTAGAAAAAAAATATATCTAACCCGAGAAAGCACCTCAACCACAAACTCAGAGGAAACACTTAACACACATTGTTCAAGCTTATTCTTCCAAATTAAACCGATCTGAAGATTTTGTGATTGCACTAAATGACAAAATATTTTTTTTATTATAATCTAACAAATTCCTAAATACTACATGTATTTATGCTATTGATATTAATAGTTGGATTTTGGTTATAAACTTACCTAGAATATTGTAAAGCATGTTTACATCAGAAGCAGGAGAAATACTGCCATGGCTTTTGAAGATTTTTCTACAAAAGCAAAGAGTTATTGCAGTGCATTCGGAACCCTCGAAAAGACAACTTATTTTTTGATCTTCTTACACAATCTGATGTTCTTCTTAGTTCTTGTTAGCGTACCTAAACCTGTTGTTTACATGCCTCACGGTCATAATATTTTTGCTTTGGTCCACCAATCCACCAGCATCTACCAGTGTAATAGTTTCTGTTTTTATTTTCTTATTGTAAGACACTATTTTTTCATGCAAAACCCAGAATTCATAAACAAAGCTTGATCGAAGAAATCAGTACACAATAAAGAGAAAAAAAAGAGTTCATCTCGATCGAAAAGACGAGGCTTGGTATTGACAAAGAAAGGAGAAAAGGGGGAAAATCTATGCGAAAATGTGAGATATTTTAACTGTTGGAGAAGATAGATATTTATCTCCAAGAGTAAAACGGATTTAGATAATAGATGTTTGAATCTGAAAAGAAAAAAATCACAAAATTAAAGCATATTATAGTAATGCATATTAATGGATAAAGTATAGCGAAATCCATCATACAACTAAATTTCAAACCGAACATTACAAATCTGACCCAAATCCAAACACTGTTGAGGCCCATTACCAAACCCAATAGTCTCAATACATGGTGAACCCAATTTAGATTTTTTTAAACCCTAAATTAAGTAGTCATGTCGTCGTTTGTTGTAACGTGTTGTAACTTGTAAATTAGAACCATAATAGAGGGAGAGAATTGGGAAAAAATTTAGAAAATGAAGGTTTTCATTCAGAATTCAGATATCCTCACCATGTACTAACAACCCTTATTTATACTAAATCTTATCTAGAAAAGGAAAAAATCTGTTAGGCCCTTTGGTGACATTCGTTTCCTCAATCCTCGACGCTTCCCTTGGTTCGTTATAGCCGTTGATGACTCATCCTGGCTTATCATTGCCCCTTGCTGCTGCTCCTCTATCGGTTGCTGGTTCATGTTCACGACATTACCTCCCCCTAATTGGAGAACCTTGTCCTCAAGGTTCAATTCCTCCTTGTTGTGCTCCCCATTTTCTGTTTCCTTCAGCAACAGTAAAGGCTTAATTTGTTGCTGCAGCTGCCCCTTACAAATCTTGAGCTGAGACACATGAAATATTGAATGGATACGAGATGATTCGGGTAGCTCTAGCTTATATGCCTCCTGACCCACCCTTTTTATGATACGATAAGGACCAAAGTATTTGGGACTCAACTTTTGTTGTCGCCTCAATCGTAGGGACAACTGTCGACAGGGTTGTAGCCGAACAAATACCCATTGCCCTTCTTCAAACTCTATTTTTCGTCGATGTTTGTCAGCTTGATTCTTCATTCGAGTTTGCGCGCGCACCAGGTTACTCTTCAATTCTTGCAGTAGTAAATCTCTTTCTTGTAGCTCTCGGTTCACTTGTAGATTACTCGAGCCTCCTAAGTAGTTGATAAGGGCAGGTGGTTCCCTTCCATACAATGCTTTAAAGGTGTCATCCCAGCAGCAGTTTGATAAGCCGTGTTATACCAATATTCTGCCCAAGCCAGATAACTCTCCCACTTGTTTGGTTCACTACTCGCTAAACAACGAAGATACATTTCCAAGCATTGATTTAACACTTCCGTTTGCGGGTGGTATACCGAGCTCATACATAGTTCTGATCCTTGCAGCTTTTCCAATTCCATCCACATTTCGCTCACAAAAATCCTATCTCGGTCACTCACTATTGAACGTGGTGTACCAATAAGTTTAATAACTCCTTGTACCAGCATCTTAGCCACATATTGACTATCAAATTGTCGAGGTAGAGCAAATAAATGCTCGTATTTGGTGAGTCTATCCACCACAACCAAGATCACTTCTTTTCCACTAGATTTAGGCAACTCGACTATAAAATCTAATGCTATATCTTCAAACACTTGATTCGGAATGGGCAGCGGTTGTAATAACCCAACTGGCATCAAACTCTAACACTTCATTCGGTGACAAACTTGACATTCAGCTACAAATTTCCTCACCTCTTGTCTCATTGTTTTCCAATAAAAGTTTACCGGAACTCGTTGAAACGTGTGAAGTATGCCTGCATGTCCTCCAATTTTTTAGCTGTGGAACTCTCTCAATATTAAGGAACGAAGAGTATGTTCATTGGGAACCAAAACAAGTCCTTTAAACAACACAATTCCTCCTTGTTCCATATAATCTTGGTAGGAACCATTTCCTTGCATGATTCTTTCTCGGATTTCCTTCAATTCCAAATCGAATTCACTGGCCTTACGAATGTCATCCATTAATGGCATCATAAATTAGCTTATTATAATTATTTTATTATAATATATTTATCTGAAATTGGTAATTTTGATTTCTTTCTTTTTATGAAAACATTTAGTTTTATTTGCTTTTATAACACGATTGTTCGTCTACTTTTATGACATGATTTTGTATATCGGCATGATAATTTGGCGTTACATTATATTTATCACGACGTACCTTATGATCAGGAAAGGTTGACGGTATCATATTGTTACAATCTTGTTTTGCAATAGATTATCGATACACTCAAAACCGTTCACGAAATAATTTATCATATTGGTTCTCTTAATCTCCACGCCTACATTAATTTTACGTTTAGTTTTAAATAGAGGCATGGAGCATATTGATACTTGCTATTTATTTTTTCTTATTAGAAAATGAAACATGTATTTAAGGGAATGTCCTTCTTTCTTCATGTTGAGATTGCATTGCCTTTGTTGTACATTATTTTTTATTTAATGAAAACCTAATTTATTGTTTTACAAAATTGTTTATATTAGATTTTAAATTTAGTTATATTTATATCATATTTGTAAAGCTTTATATATATATATATATATACCAACTTTAAAATAAATATTAAGATTCAAATTTTAATATATGTACCAATTTTAATATAACTAATACTATAAACTTGAAAGAAAACATAAACGAAAGGTTTCAAGCGGGGTTACTTGGGTGATGTGGTAAAATTTGCTGTGCAAAAATGAATTCGAAATATAAAATTAATTTCAGTAGAAGGTTTCAAGTCGCCACATGCAACAATAAACTTAAGTAAAGGTATTAGTTGCTTGAAATTAGGAATTGACTCAATAATTTAGTTGGAATATTATCTGAATAATAACAACTTAAGAAGCAGTATGCTGGAGTAAATACCCTTTAATGTCTGATCAACAAACTTTGATTCATGAACTAGTGTGGTTGAAATGTCTGATCAACGTTGGTCAGTCAAAAATCCAAGTAGCCTGGAAATGGATTTGTTCAATGGATTTTGCCCGGAAATGATGCTCAATTTGCAGATAGCTAGAAATCGTTAGAGGGTAGATGAGATAATAATCACACAAGCGCAGCTAACATATTCAAT